GGGGGGGGGGGGGATTAATATAAAAACTTATAAGCACAATAAATCATCAGATCAGAGACTGTTTCTCCCAAGATATCATAATTCACAACCCCGGAAAGCATCAGCGTCAAACACCTAGTCAAAGAACAGAGCTCTAGCGATAGACCACCACAAAAGTTAACCAATGCAGTCCAACCAACGCCTCAGCACAGTCGCCTTATAATATCATACGTAAGCAAAACCTTATTCATAAGCCACGGCAGAACAGATAAGGGGTACGGGATGAGAAAACAGAAGTTGAAGTAGAATGAATAAATTTTATATTATATAGATTGTAATGATATATATAATGTATACGTGAGCCATCACCACAGCCACACTACGACAGGTGACGTCATAACGGTCATCAGTACAGGGCCAGGGCCAGGCCAGGAGGCGGCAGAGAAACTAGGCCAACCACTACAGTAGAGAACATGATATAATATTAAACACAGACTTCAACATAATTTAAGGACCAACTTGACAGACAGCCCTGATTTTTCAAAATTTTTAGAAAAGAGAGCAAGGGATGTTTTTAAAAATGTTACTCCGAAAGTGGGTTAACAATGCGTACTGCAAAGCTTCCTAAAGGGGTAAAACTACCACGTGCAGCACGGAAATCCTCGGGGAATTTTAGTCAAATTTGCAAGTGGTCCTTAACTTATGTTGAAGCCTGCAGAACCATCAACCTCCAGAGGGGGAAAAACCACGTCCTGTTCCTTCACTGTTTCAGTTCAGTTGAAAGACAGCCAAACGCCACCGGCACAGCCACACTACAGAGTTCATTACGATTATGCACAGGCCTAGAGTATGACATGGTGCTGACCAAAGGGTTGTTGTTTTTGTTGCTGTTGGTGTTGTTGTTATTGTTTTGGTGTTGTTGTTGTGTTTGGTGTTGTTGTTGTTGTTGTTGCTATTCTCGTTGTTGTTGCTGCTGCAGATGTCGTTGTTTGTTGGTGTTGTTTCAGTTGTTTGGGGTTGTTGCTATTGTTTGGGGTTGTTGCTGTTTGGTGTCGGGTTTTTTTTTTATTGTTCTTTGTTGCTGATTTTGTTGTTGCTGTTGCTTTATGTACGTGTGCATGTGTGTATAAATGTGTGTATATACATACACTCACACTGATACATACATACATACAAAGACAAGTCACAAAGTATACTTATCATGAATACAAAATATAAAAGAGACACCGTAAAGGCCCGCAAAGGTAAAGAAACGGTACAAGCACAGTTGTAACTACATGTATATTGATCAGATAAGCGAATGATCATGTACGAGAGGTATTACTAACGTTTTATAATACACCCAACGCTCTGTGTGTCTGCGTGCGTGTGTGTATGTGTGTATGAACTGTGTGTGTGT